ACTCGAGGCTGGGCCCCACGCAGTAGAGGTGGGTCCAGTTTTGCTTGCGGATTATGGTTGTGGAGGGCGACTCGGCCGCCGGCGTGGCTTCCAGCTCGTAGACCCAGATGTTGGTTTTGTCAGGTGACCGGATGAAGAGGTTTGGAGATTCCAAGCTGATTCTGAATTCGCCTTCTCCTCCCAATTCCTCGTCGCTTTCCATCGTTACTATGCTTCTATAGAAGATCGATTAGACTGTGGATGGAATTGGAATTAGGTTGAAGAAGAAGAAGAAGAAGAAGAAGAGGAATGGTGGAGTTGAGTTCAGCAAATCAGTTGGCGAATGGTGGTATAAATAATGAAGGCGAAAGTTTAACACATCAAAGCTTTTTGTTGTTAAACATTAAATCCGATCTGATCGGATCGCCTGCGCAGGGAGCATAACCCAAAGGATGTGTACATACCACTTCATAACCATTTTTAACTTTCAATAAGTATTCGTGTTAACTTAAATTTCAAAGAGAAAATATACAACACTTTGAAAGAAAAAAAATTATATCTACAACTACAAGACATCTATTCTGATATATTCTGAAAACACGTTAATATATCATGATAGCCTAAAATTATATCATAGTGGTTATAAAAAAAAACATGCCACGGTCTTAAAGATCAAAATGTGTCAGGGTGTTAGAAATTACACCGGTACAAAATAAATATCATGGTGATTATATAGGAGGATAAAATTCACCACACTTTAAGTTTGAATTCTGAGACTAACAATCATCTAACAAAAGTAGTGGTGGAATTCTTGGCCCAATAAAAAATACCATAAATTTATCAAATTGAATATCATTTTATAAACAATAAATTAATCTACTAAAAATTTTCAAATATGAGTTATAAGGAATAAGATACAAACTAATTAAGTAAAGAAAATTTTGAAAAAAGGATCATTTAAGCTCCACCATGATAGTGATCCAAGCGACTAAGTTTTGATGATAAATATTTTCTATAAATATTTTCAATCATGAGTTACAACGAATAAGATACAAACTAAGTAAAGAACAAAATTGAAAACGGATCATTTAATCTTCTCCACCATGATAATGATCCAAGCTACTAAGTTTTGATGATGAATACTACAATATTATTCCTTGTCCGCTCTAGTTTTTGCTGCATATATGCATTCTTGCTCTAGTTTTTGCGGTATATATGCATTCTTGCGTTTCTGATATGCATTGAAAGCGTATTGATATGCATTTATGTAATTCTGGTACACAATAAGTAATAAGTAGTATTTATTTACTTCGTATGCATGTGTTTGTTACATGCTTATTGAAGGATATTCATGATATAATTATACATCGAGAGATTTCTAATTTTCATTGTGAGGTTTCTGGTATTCATCTTAAATAGAGAATTTCATAGGGTAATATTGTTCTCTCTTGTTTAGCCCTTCTTCGTTGCAATGACGGAATTGAAAGAATCGTCCACTGCCGTCGTTGCCAATCACTTAAAGGAGAATCGATTTTTTGTTTGTTGTTAATGTCTAGTAAGGAACGCTAATATTTGATGGGGAAAGCGAAGGAGAATCCATCGTCGTTGTAAATGGAAAAAGAAATAGATCGTCGGCCAACAAAAAATTACTTGTGTCATCATAGTTTCAAGTTTTGTGTGGCACTCATTTCCATTGTCCATATAGTGGATTTATGATGGCAGTATTTAAGAGTCACTAATAGACTCGTACTTCAGGGTACACACAAAAAATGTCATATAAAGGAACATCGTAATGGAAGATATTTTTGCTGACTCGCCCTTTTCAGCGTGTCACATATCATTATGGTGACGTACTTAAGGTGATAGAGGTCGTGACAACATAAAATTTTCAACTTTTTGTGACAAGTTTAATTGGCACAAAAAAAAATTTGTATTGTATTTTTTATAGATGGAACAAGTTCATTATAATTTAAAAAATCAGAACAATTTTCTATATATTTCAAAAAACAAATATTCAGAGGACCATCTATATACGACCTTCTACTACAGTTTACCTCTTTTTTAACTTTATTCTTCAATTTTTTTTGCATAGAATCAACGAATTGATTGTGACTCAATATATTTATAGAAAAAATTGGATCAATTATAAGACCCTCTTCCATGATTATTGGTGATAAAATGGTGGTATATGATATCATAATGAATGGCAGAATTAAAAAGACTTAGGGAACCATAAAAAAAGACTGAGGTCCATAGCAGAAAATTAAAAGTTAAAATTCTTTGCTGTACGCAATAGGCCAATAGCAGAACAAGAAAAGACTATCGATGTCAATATTAATTGGCCGAATTAATAAAGACCGAGGTCACAACTCACAAGCAGCCAAATTTAAAGCTATAGTACTTTGATCTACGCAATAGCAGAATAAGAAAAGCCTACCCAAGTCAATGTAATCATCCAAGTTATTGTCGTGACATATAAACAAGAAATACGAAAATGATTTACCTACTTATACCAGTAACCTAATTTTAATGGTCAGTTGACTTTATAATGACACATAAATGAGTGTTATTTGTCTTCCAAAAGTTTGGTGTTTTCATGTCATATTGTGTATCTACCAGTATTTGAACTCGCATTTATCCTTCATTTGCTTCCTATCATGTAAATTAACTCTATCAAGTTAAGGTGTGTGGGCTTAAAATATTTAAGGAAGAATAGAATTTCAAGTGCAGAGAAAAGTGCAAGAAGAGTTCGCATGCAAAATTCAAAACATCACGATCGAGAATTCCAAATTGTGATCACGAAGTTGATGGGATATGTGAAAGCTCACGACCCAGGATCTGTTCGCTTTCATGGGCTCATGGGATATGTCAAATATAGCAAATAAATTTTCACTTTCACTATGATACTATCATCGAAGCTACGATTAATTGATTCTGCTACTGGCATTGCTTCTTCATTAGGTCTCTGGAGTCAAGTCGTTGGATTCTATGTTGGTGTTGGTTACTTGTTGCCATCTGAAGAGAAAGGTACACCAGCCAGACCCAGAGGGTTTGGGGGAAAGTGATCGATGCTGAACAATTAAGATTCCTTTCGTTATGATAGTTGTTTCTAATGGGTAGCCAGATTAAATTTTGCTTCGGTTTTTGCCTTGGTTAAAGTGTAGTAATGCTTGGTATCTGTAGGTGAGGAGTGAGTCTCCTTTCTTGTATTTTCGATTTTTGCTTAATGAGAATTGCAGATTGTCGGGGGAAAAAATAGTACAATAAAAAATCCAACAAGCTGGTCTAGTGATAATATGGAGATAAAAACATCCTTTATCCATCAGTTCAAATATTGGAAGCAACAACCAAGGAAAAATATAAAAGAATAAGAAAAGACCATCAAAGTCAATATAATTTGCCAAATTAAAAAAAAGACCGAGATACTAGCGTAAAATTAAAAGTTATAATACTTTGGTCTACGCAATAGCATAATGTAAATTCCAAGAAGTTGGCCAAGGAGCAACAAAAAATAGCAAAAAAGAAAAAGACTAATAGACTATCCAAGTCAATATATATAATTAGCCGAATTAAAAAAGACTGAGGTCACTAGCAGAAAAGCTAGAATATAATTTGGTCTATGCAATAGCAGAATAAGAAAAGCCTATCCAATCAGGCTTCTTATAAAAATAAAAATAAAAAGTCTATCCAAATCAGTATGATAATCCAAATTGTTTTTTTTTATGAATAATCCAAATTGTTGGTCATGAACTCATGATTCATGACATTTAAACAAGTAAAACGAAAATGATTCCCTAGCTAGTAGATACCATTTACCTAATTATTGGTCAGTTGACTCTCGTATCTAATATATATTGGTTTATATCAGTAAAATAAAGGATGGTTCTATTGTACACCACACAAAAACTAGTGTATGTTGGACATCACAATCTACATTGTATGTGTTCATATCAATGGCCAGTACAATTGTAGGTTATCGTTTTTTTAATGAAATTATAAAATAAATTATTGTATTTATGCTTATCGTTCATATGGATGCGTAAGGTGAAGATTGACTGGTTTACGACATACACCGATCTTTTTCCCGGTGTATAAACTTCACCATAAAATTAGGCCCGATTATTAATTTTTAGAGAACCTGTTCTGTAAACAAAATGTGGTCCAAATTAAAAAAAATTAAATCTAGTAAAACATAAAAGAAATCATCAATCAATAACTAAAAATCATAACATTGTTTTAAAATAAAATCTATCTAATAAACCTATCTTCTAAACATAGAGTTGGAGTAAAATAAAACCACCCATCAGCTTGACCTCTATTAATTTTCCTAGTGGCATGTAGGCTGGAGCCAGTGCTCTATTCACACTGCCTTAGGAGCCAAGAGGGTTTCAGACTTTCAGGATGGTAATAAGTGGCATAAGTGGTCTGAATTTTATTTTCCTAAATATATTAAAAAAGAATATCATTTTGTACATTATAACAAACAAAAAAAAATCAATCCATATAAAAATTAAAAATAATAATATATAAAAAGGTAATAAAATCATTTAATCTCATCACTTCGATATTATCCCACAAAAAATCAAGAGCCCAAATTTTATTATCTAGGTGTGCGTCATACACACACGACCTCAGATCAGACTAGTCAGTCATGTTAGAGAGTGGTATAAGATCCAACATAACCTTCTCCCAACAACTCGAGTTATTGGGAGCAACTGGTTCTTGACATGGTATCAGAGCTTAGAACCGAAAGGTCATGTGTTCGAATCTCCACGACCCCCAATATTAATCGTTGTCTTTCAAGCACATGGTATGGTGGGCCTGTGCAAACTTCAAGCCCATGGGTTGGCTCTCGTTTGAGGGGCGTGTTCCCAACAACTCGAGTTATTGAGAGCAACTGGTTCTTGACAAGTCACACCCCCTTCCCTTTATATGTCCTAATCCGCCATCATCTCCAAATGAATCAAACCAAACCAAGCCAAGCAAAATATACATACATATCATCAGTTAACTTAATCAAGATGGGAGCGCCGTACGAACTCAAGTCCCCAAAACAGTTCGTAGCTTCGTCGGACAAATCAAAAATCGATGTCTACGAGCTGACGAGAGACACAAGCACGAACGCGTCCAACGTCAGAATCAGCGAATGGAAGAAGGTGGCGACCGTACTGGCCGCTTCCGCAGGCTGCAGACCACCGAGTGACGACGACGCCATCAAGAAGGGGACGGCGCCGCCGCAGTCGTACGACGCGCTGAAGGTGTTCAGCAGAGAGATCAAGGGGCAGGCCCTGCGCAACCTAGCGGACGACCTGGTGCAGTCGCGGCTGCTCATCAACCGCGAGGGCTTCTGCTTCATCGACGTGACGACGTCGTTCGTGGACCCCAAGTTCGGGGTGCAGTACTTCCGGGCCCAGGACCTGTTCGCTTGGTCGCAGTACGGGGTCGACGAAGATGACGTCACGGCGACCACGTGGAACCCGTGCGACATGCAGGCGGCAGGGGCCGTAGTTTTGGACTACGGGGAGATGGCGAGGGAGAAGGAGGAGCGAGTGTACCAGCTGCGGTACAAGGAGTATCGCGAGGAGGAGAAGAGGCTGGAGCAGGCCACCAAAGAGCTGGAGGAGTACCAGAAGCTGAACTACTGGGGCGCCCCTCCGCCCTCGAGGCTGGTGTTGGCGGCGGAGGCTTTGATCCCGGCCCTTCAGCGACGGCGTCGAGCGTCCACGCTAGCAATAAGAGTGGGTTCACCGTCAGCTGCCAGTCGCTTCTGGTCCAGTGGGCCTCCGTTGGACGGGAAATCCGGGGTGAACAACTTGGTGGTGGTCGATCAAGAGGTGGGAGACCAGGCATTTGGCACGATTGATGGCGAGACGAGAGACGGGCGTTTCGATGCCGGCAACTGGTGGTATGTAAGGACCACTCATCCGGACGGGGGAGCAACGTTGATTGCTTACTACGAAGGGAGCTTCGCTCACGCCGAGGTCTACAATGGCTACACGGGGCGGCGAGAGCTCGTTCCCCTGCCCTACGCGATTGATTCCAATTTCAGGAGCGACACCCGTTTCTACCTGGCTTGCTTGTCCTCACTCCTCCTCAGGATTGTGGTTATCCTCATCTAATCATGCCGCACAGCGGCTTCAGTTTCCTAATTTTATTTTGTCTTTTTCATTTGCTTGCGGTCACTGAGACTTAATTGAACCCGGAATGATTGTAACCGCTCAATTAGTACGATATTGTCCGCTTTAGACCAAGTCCGCACGGTTTTACTCTTGGGTGTCCTCCCCAAAAGGATTCGTACTAATGAGCTTGGTGGACGTACACTAATATAGAAGGGTCAATCCCCTTGTATTTCCGATGTGGTACTTAGATTGTCCCATAACAACCTCCCCTCAAGACAAGGACCACGAACTTTGTTTCCTCACCTCAGCGATTATCTTGATCCACCAGACGCCTTGTATCGATGGGCTTCTCGGTACTAGGACTTTACCAGACACAGAATTCTCTTTGATCTGCTTCCCAAATGCGGAACTCTCTTTGATTCACCAAGCCCAAACGTGGATCTCTCCCGGATTCACCAAACCAGACGCAGATCTCTCCCGAGGTCCACCAAACTTACATCCACCACCCCGAACCCGAATCAGGCTCTGATACCACTTTGTCATAACCGAGCAGCCCATTAGTATGATATTGTCCGCTTTGGGCCAAGGCCGCACGCTTTTACTCTTGTGTGTCCTCCCCAAAAGGCCTCGTACTAATTGGGCTAGGTGGACACTTATATACAAGGTTCTGTTCCTTGTATATACGTTGTGGTACTTGGATTGCCCCATAACAATCCTCCCTTCAAACAAAGGACCACGTACATTGTGTCCTCACCTTAGCGATTGTCTTGATCCGCCAAACACCTTGTATCGATGGGCTTCTCGGTACAAGGATTTTCCCAGACGTGGAACTCTCTTTGATCCGCCAAACAGACGTGGATCTCTCCACCAAACAAACACGAACCTCCTTCGATCTGCCAAACCAGATGTACCCCAAACGTGGATCTCTCGTGGATCCACCAAATCAGACGCAGATCTCAATCTTGAGGTCACTAAATGAGGGTCCACTCTGACGTCCACCGCCCCGGATCTGCCGTATCAGGCTCTGATACCACTTGTTAAACCGGGTCGCTCAATTAGTATGATATTGTCCGCTTTGGACCAAGCCCGCACGGTTTTACTCTTGGGTATCATTCCCAAAAGGCCTCATAATAATGAGCTTGGTGGACGCTAATATACAAGGTTTCTTTTCCTTGTATCTCTGTTGTTGTACTTGGATTGCCCCATAACAGTTTTGTTCTACAATTGCTTAGTGGGTAAATCCCAGTGATTACATATTATATACTACTACTAATTATTCCCAAAATTCCCCAAATAATCCCAAAACGTCTCGAATCGATAAATATCTTAAACGACAGAAATAAGCAAATAATGTGTTTCTAACAAAGGAGCTCAAGGACAACTGCAGAGGTTTGAAAAACTCTCCAACTCGGGAATGCTCAATGAGATCTTGTAAGAATAGCAGCATTACAAGAACAACTATCTAACATAATGAAATAGATATCTAAGTATCATACTCCTTTAGTCACAATATGGGAAGAGCTGTAGAATTATCAGTCAGTTCCTCATTGTTGTTGCACAACTACTAGTCACTCAGATTTTGTAGCTATCAACATAGTGAAAATTACAATGATACTACTTTTGTGATATATTTTCTTCGCTGTTTGAATGAAAATTATGTTATACCTAGGTCACAAGTCGTGGTTAGTGAACTTTTGTCTACTACGGATCAAGTTTTTTATAGAATAGGTTGAAGAAGATTTGATGTTGAGGGAGATGGCTCCTTTCTTCTTGCTCCTTCTCCTTCTTCTCCTCTTCTCCTTCTTTCAGCTTCTGTCTCTTCTCTCTCTCTCTCTAAAACCAAAAAATATATATATATATCTTAAAAATCAGCTCTCTTGAATGGGGGAAAGGGGTCTTCTATTTATAGGTATCAAAGGATGGAGAAGATCGCGGGCATAAAGGGTTGAGATAGCGGGCGTGATCTTCTACTCAGAGGTAGTGATCTTGAGATGCTGCCATTTTGGTCGTCAGAAGCGAGGAGTTTTCGGGATTACTTCGCGGTCGCGATCCACGAGTCGCAGCCGCGAACTTCCTCACGGGCAGTTTGTGCTTCGGTCATGTTATGCCTGGGGAAACTCTTTGTTTCTCCTCGGCTGCTTCCTTGCGACGTTCGCGCCCTGAGCCCTCGCGATCAAGGCTACGATCTTAGGCTTCCAAGCCGCGATTTTTAGCTTGTCTTCGCAGGCTTGGTTCTCTGTCGTGATCTCGACAGGCTTGATTCTGCCGCATTGCTACGCTTGTGACCTTATTTTGTACCTAATTCGCATATATTGTCTAAAGTACCCTAAAATAACAATGAAATCAAATAGGAATACAATTGACATTGATCAAACAATTATGCACACGAGTTGGCATGAAACAAACCTTAATATGAAGGGTAAATAACACCAATTTATGTGTTATCAGTAACAAGGATTGCTTTTATACCATTGGTACGCTTTTGGTATCATTTTGTGTATTTTCAGGGCAAAGCAGTGTAGCGAGCCACTTGGAAGCCGTATCGAGCTCAAATTGTTGGATCCAGGATTAGAAGGATAGACGTCAAATCAAAACGGTGCTCGGAACGTCGTTTTAGTGAAGAACTTAGGCGTGCACGGTGTTGCTTTAGGGGATTCGTCCAATTCATCAGGAAGTTATCTCAGAGCATCTTGATTCGCTGGCCATGTCTTTTTCAATTAAGTAAGAGGTTATGTTAAGTATATGAAAGTTTATTAAAAACTACCATTTTTATTATTGATTATAAAAAGACTTGGGAAGCTGACGTATAAATTTTTTATTTATAAAAGTGACATTAGTTTTCTTTTATTTTTTTAAATACATTAGTTTAATTTTTGGTAGACGCTTATTTAATGTATTTGAATATGAAACCTTCATATTGATAACCAATGATAAAATTATTAGACCAATCTTTTATTTGTATGCCTTTTCAACTAAATAACAACTTATGTCAAGTCTATGAAAGTTTGATAAAATAAGACTTCTACAATTGATTAGAAAAAGACGCAGATTGAAAACCAAAGATAATTCAGAATATTATCATCAACATCCTGAAAATAAAGCCTTGCATACCGAAATGGCCCCATCTTTTTTTGAGTTAGCCTCTGCTAATCATTTCGTTACCTCATCGGACAGAAGCACGATCGAGGTTTCACTACAAAATTGAGAGGCTTTGGGGGCAATAATAGAGGACAAGTAGTTTAGTTTGTCTTCGGAGATACAAATCTTAGTGGTATTGGGGACAATTGCATAAAGTCGTCGCCATATGTGGAAGAGGCCGGAAATGAGCTCTATTTTGTCGTCCCTAGAGAAATCTACACACTAAGGGCCTAAAACTTAAGAATGTAAAATTAAGATATTGATCCACGCATCAACCACCTTAAATCAAAAATTCCTTTATCTTCTAAATCACTTCCATTGGGCCATCAGGCTGCCCAGCCACATTTACTCAATGAGCTCCGGTTCCATTAAAAATGCCTTAGATGCTTTCTTTCTCAAGAATTGGTCGTCCCCAGTCCAAAAGGAAAAACCTTCCGTGTCAATGCTTCTCTTTTCTTTATGTATTTATCAAGTATTGAAAAATTTTACCTTATCTATAGTTTGACCAGAAAAATCTCATATCGAAAGCAAAATTGGTAGACAGTATTTAACGGAATGAAACAGTTAAACTACGATTAAATCACGATTTCAATATAAAATACCCTTTCGGTAAATTTCTTAGTACAACCTGCTATACGATCTTTCAATCTTTGGTATTTACTTTCGGGTTGTCCCCATTCAATTTGTAATTGTATTCCTTTTTCATTTCTTGTTTGGCGTGAGTATTGGTCCGATTATACATAAGGATTGTTGTTATGATGTGAACCATTCATTCAAAAGCCTGCAAAATAATTTCATGTGAGATTTTGTGCTCAATCGGTGCTCCAGATTGCTCAATGTTAAATTTCATAATTGTAGGTATCATTATGTAATTTTTTCGATCCTACTTATTTTTTTTATAAGGATGATATAAAATTTACTTTGTTTGTAATTAAGGTACTACTTAAGAGATTCGAACATGATACTCCAGGTTCTAGACTAGTGGTATGACCATTAGACCAATCTCTTGTTCGTTGTGATCCCACTTGTTTCACAAGCTAGTGGTTCCCGAGTTGTTTACGTAGAAGGAAACCCTTCTCCGGCCTAGATTTCGGTTGATCTCATCCATCTAGGTTTAGGGATTGCTCATGTATTTAACCCTTGCTCCCAGTGTCATTCGAGCAAGCCAACGGTCAATCAAAAAAACCTCGTTCGTGAGCTCTTTCGAGCTCAATGTGTATTAGTTTTGTTCACATCGAACAGAGATACCATGTAAATCCTTGTGTTGCGTGATTGTCTTCTTTCCGCATTTGGTTTTATTTACATTCAAAAGCCTGAAAATTAATTTCATGTGATATTTTGTGCTCAATCGTGCTCAATAGGTGCTCTAAATTGGGTTATAGTTTCCAGTTGCTTTTCTTCACGAAGTTATCAGTTTTAGAATTTGTCTCGTTGCACACCCGTAATTGCATCATGATGACACTATGCAAACTAGAGATAATATATCCTCCTTCATTTTTTGATGTCATGGTACATTTGTGCATTCACTTGCATATGGAGGCTATGATTGTTGGACCAGTTCAAACAAGGTGGGTGTACCACCCAGTGGAAGGATTCTTGTACACCCTTAAGTCATATGTTCGTAATAAAGCACATCCAGAGGCTTCTATAGGAGAAGAATATCTAGGTGATGAGTGTTTGACATTTTTTTCAAGATATCTTAATGGGTTGACATGAAGTTTAATAGGCCCCAAAGAAACAATGACGACAATGAAAGTTCAAGCTGAAATGGGGAAATGGATATATTTGATGATTTAGGTTGTCCATTGGGGAAAGATGTCCTCCAAGATGTTCGAAGTTTACTCGCTCTGTTAAAAAACAAT